GTTAGCAACTAACAATTAACAACAAGAACATACCAGTAAACTTAACAACAAACCCGTAACTTTAACAACAAATCAATAACCATAACAAAAAACCCGTAACCTTAACAACAAACCCGTAACCTTAACAACAAATCAATAACTATAATAAAAAATACGTAACCTTAACAAAAAACTGGTAACCTTAACATCAAACCCGTAACCTTAACAACAAATCAATAACCATAACAAAAAACATATAACCACGAAGAGCTTTGAATCCACAAAGTAAATATTAAAGAAAAACGAAATTTTATTAATCAAAAGCTATGTCTCTAGGGCTTATAAGACCCTACTTAAATAGAAAAGAAATAAGACTTTTACAAGGACTCAAAGTAAAAGAATTCCTAAAATATTAAAACTCCTAAAAAGACTCCTTATGACAAGGAAAGTCTACTGGTCAAATCTAAGATCAAATCGGCTTTATTTCCTAATCAAAACAGACTCCTAAAACATTACTAAAAATAGTAAAAAAACGAACAAAAATACAGATATCTCTCAAACCGTAAGGAATTTGGCAAAATGGAGGAAACAAACCAAACCCTTAGGGGTAGGTTTGGATGGTCCCGTCTCGTCAAGATAGTCGATTTTCATATATAATTTGTCCAACTCCGACGTACGGTTTGAAAGTTACGGCCGTTTCTTCGAAACAAGTTATTTTCTTCGACCAGGCCCACATTTGGGCTTGCGACTGTCCCACTTTAACATAAATGTGTCTGTCGTGTGTTCTACATCAGTCCCCCCTACTTTAAAAGAGCTCGACCCCGAGCTTACACTTGCATGAAGAGATTTTTCTTCTGGCGGGTAATACTCAAACAAATCTGCAACATTAAAACTAGGAGAGATACCCAAATCTGTAGAAAGGTCAACCACATAAGCATTGTTGCTAATCTTCTTCAGCATCTTGCATTGACCATACTTCTTATTCTTCAGCTTGTTGTAGGTGCCCACGAGAAAACATTCTTTTCGCAGAAACACCATCATCATGTCTTCCTCTTCAAACACCTTCTTCCTCTTGTGTCGATCAGCATCATCCTTATATTTAGCATTAAGCTGCTCTATCTTCTCCTTGACTTCCTGTTGGATAGCTCGTATCTTTTCAACCATATGATCTGCAGGAACACTCTGTCCGGGAAGCTTAGGCAGTGGAGCAAGGTCAAGATAATATTTCGGAAGCCTTCCATACGCAATCACAAAGGGAGCCTTACATGTAGTTTGATTCTCCATACAGTTATAAACAAATTCAGCATGTGCCAGAGCAAGATCCCACTGCTTCGGACGATCTTCCGTGTGTTCTACATCAAACTTTCCTGCAAATATGAACTTATCCTATCAATTGCATTTAAAAGGAGGAAATGTCCCCAAGTCTTTCAATTTTATGATCGCCCCCGATTGATTTTTATATAATAGTACTGATATTGCATTACTTTTAAACTATATAAAGGGTCACTATGGGGAAGACTGATTTCATCTTTTTTTCTGGTCCTGTCGGTTATATACTTATTTAACCCTCTCATACAAAAAATAAGAAGTAGCCTCTGTGATAATAAAAGTTAAAAGTCCACGCACGTCTTCCTTGCTCCATAATTTTCATACTTACCAATCAATTTGCAGGCTAATTATCTTCACGGCATAAATGTGATGCGCGCCAAGCTACAGTTCGTATCACTAAACTCTTTCATAAATTTAACTAATGGAGAACCAGTAATGGATTTCGAAAGGCAGGGGAGCTTGAGTTGGATCTTTTGGATGTCTTTTACAGATCAACTGTTTTAAAAATGAATGAAAATTGAGTATGTTAGTTGAACGGCTGCCTGCCAACCGTTAGTGGGCCGAATAGCGATCTTTTTAACTGTGCAACTGTTTATCCTTTACATCTATGGCCCATGGAACGTGGACACAAACGTAGGGCATCTTGCACAAAATTATTAATGGTTTTTATTCTAGAAAAATATCGTGACAAGCTAATAAAGCCTGTAGATAAATATCATATATCATTTCATTCTCTATATAAAAAGAATGTAAGAGGTTCTTCGGGATTTCGCGCGTTATCTCCTACTTAGGACTAAAATGATATTGTTGCCCTTGCTTGATGAGCAGAGGATTTAAAGTTAGGGTTTTTTCATATAAGTTTTATTTTTAAGTTTAAAAAATATATGGAAACCGCCATATAAGTTTAAAAAATATATGGAAACCACCATATAAGTTTTATTTTTATAAAAATTACTTTATAAGTAGTATTGCTTTGTAAAGTACCATTTTTGGTCAAAAATTATTCAATTAATAACCTAACTATCCAAATTGCCCCTATTATTACCACGTGAGTTGCACGTGTTTCCTACTAAAACCCAGCTCTTATCCGTGGTTTAACTAGGGGTGGGCAAAAACCGAAAAAAACCGGTTCAACCGAAAAAACCGCCCGAAAAAACGGACCGGTTAACCGAACCGAATTAAATGGATGAGAAGAAGTCTCTAAACCGTCCGAACCGAATTAAATCGGTTTGGATCCGGTTTGAACCCCTGAACCGCCCAAAAAAACCGACCCGAATTCTGTTGGGCGGTTTAGAGACTAAAACCTCAAAACTTTTCCTGTTATCATCCAATAGATTCAAACGGCGCAAGGAGCAGTTTCAAGCAATGAGTACAGCAATATCACAGAAAAATATCCTTGAGAACTAAGTAAAGATTCAAATCAATCTAGAAAAATTGTTATGCACATGATGCACTTACAAAAGATGCATACGCTACATTATATGAACAATATCATACAAAACATCACTCCCCCGTGTAATTAAATAAACTTAAACTTTAGTTAAAAAATTTCGCAGAAAAGATCTTGAGAATTACATAAGATTCAAATCAATCACAAAATGTGTTATGTACATGATACTTACAAGAGATAAGCATGCTGTATTATATGAACAACATCTTTAAAACATCAGTTCTCTGCGTAATTATATCAACTCAAAACTTTATTCTAAAGATGATAACCAGTCTAATAAAGCTTTGTTGGCGAGCTCAGGAACCTCATCATGAGGACAATGCCCAGCTTGCAAATTCACAACAAAAGTCTTTGGATAGAACTCTTTGCAAATTCAAAACCGAAACCGAACCAAACCGAATTTCGGTTGGACCGAATATTTGGACGAAGGGGAAAAAATCTGGATCTGGATGAGAGTTTTGAGAATCCGAAAAATTTAGATTGGATACGGATTGAGCATAAAACCGAACCGAACCGAATATGCTCCGCCCTAGTTTTAACCTCCCCCCACCCCCCTAAATTAAAAATAAAAAAATAACCGGTAAAATACAAAGCTCTCTCTCTCTCTCTCTCTCTCTCCCCCTAACCTCGTTGCTAGTGTTGCTAGTAAATAAATTTTTGATCCCCATTACTCTCTCGAATTTGACCTCGACCTTGACATTATGGGGCTTCTTCATTATTGAGCGGTGGAAAAGCATATTTCAGCAAGAGCGGGCCTCGACCTTGGCAATGTTAACATTATGGGGACTACTCTTGTATGAAGGTATGTTGAATACAAAATTCAACAATGCATGTGTGTTTTGATGCCGTGTACATCATCTAGGGTTTGTTAATTTGAAAATTAAGGTGTAGGTCAGTTGTGAATTGGAAGGGCTTACGAAAAATTAGGGGTTTTATATTTTACCAAAATTTGGGTAAACTAGGCTTCTTGTTGTTGTAATTAGTCATTTACTTAATTAAATATTAGTTTTTATGGTTAATTTAACATATACAATTGTTTAATTTTAGGATGCCTACATAGGAATTGTTTACTATTGAGTATCACCAGGGAGGAAGTTTTTGAAAGGAGAATGACCAATTAAAGTATGTGGGTGGTCATAAATATGTTAAGGATGGCCATATTGTTGATGATTTTTGTAAATGGGACATAAAAGATGTGTTAGTTGACATATTAAAGTATAACAATATGGGTGATGTGTTTTATAAGATACCTGGAAAATCTCATGCCCAAGGCATTAGGCCAATTGTTATTGATCAAGACATTCTTGATATGGTTGCTAGCCTTGGACCAAGTAAAAGAATATTTGTGTATGTGTCGCATAGAGTGGATCAATATGAAGGTGACTCGGATGTAGCCATAGAAAGTGGTGTTCAGAAGGAAGATGATGATGCACAACATAGTCATGTAGGGAATAGTAATGAACAACCAAAAGAGAATCCGACAGTCATAGAGAATCCTACAACTACCACTTACGAATTTCAAAATTGTGCTCCATTAAATACAAAAAATCAAAATGATCCACCATTTAACATGGAGACTCAAAATTCACCACCTATAGATGACAATTGTTCTGCTAACGTTGAGAATGATGGAGATGGATGTGTAGATGAAAATGCGGAGAATGAAGCTGATGATGATGGTAGTAATTTTGAGGTTTCTGAAGGTGATAATGATGATGGCGATGATGAATTTGAGGCTAATGACCTAGAGTCTAAGATAACAAATGAAATTAAAAAAATCAAGGAACTACCAATGCATATGGTTTTGATAATATAGAAGACTTACTTGATATAGCTGAAGATGGTGATTGCAAAATAGAGGAGTTAAACTCTTTGTATGACTCTGATGAGGAGGGATACACATATCCAAAGTTTAATCCTGAGAATAATTTGAATAGGCCAATTGAATTTAAAGTGGAGCTAAGTTTGCAACCAATGAGATCCTTAGAAAAGCTCTCAAGTTGTATGAAATACAAAAAACTTTGATTTTTACTACTTGCATAATGACAAGAGGAGGGTAACAATTTTCTATAGAAATAGATGCAAATGTGTAGATAATTTCAAACATGGGAGAAAATTAAAATGTCAACGTGGTTGTGTTGACGTATGTAGATTTAAAATTCATGCCACAAGATTGAGAGATGAGGCCACTTTCCAAGTCAAATCAATGAGGTTGAAGCATCAAAATTATGGTGGGCTAAAAAGTAAAATTAGTAAGGTATCAGCTGAATGATTAGCTGAAAGATATCAAGATAATTGGAGAGGTGACGCTGATTGGAAATTGTCAGCTTTTATTAAAATGGTGCAGATGGATTATGGTGTTACTATTGGTGGTCCTATAGCTTATAGGGCAAAACACTTGACCTTGTTCAAGTTTCATGGAGTTGTAAGTAAACAATACAAAAGGGTCTGGGATTACGCAGAGGAAATTAGGAGGACCAATCCTTGTAGTACATGTTTGGTTAGAGTTGATGATATTACTAGACAACCATCACCCATATTTCAAATATTATATGTTTGCTTGTCTACATGTAAAGAAGGCTTTGTGAAAGTATGTAGGCCACTCATTGGTGTTGACGGGTGTCATTTAAAGGGAATATACAAAAGAAAATTTTATTTACAGTTGGAAAAGATGGGAATGGCAATATCTTTTCTATTGCATATTCTCTAGTGGAGGTGGAGAACAAGGAAACATGGAGCTGGTTTCTACACACTTTGATTGTAGACTTGGGGCCAGTTGATAGATATGGATGGTGTTTCATGTCAGATAGGCAGAAGGTAATACATATTCTTAAATATTTTTATTTATCATTGTAAATAACACTTATTTTGTTTGATGCATGTTACTTATAATTGAGTTTCTGTTCTGTAGGGATTAATTGATGCTTTGCAACTTGTTGTACCTCAAGTTGAATTAAGGTTTTGTGCAAGGCACATGCATGTTAATTTCAAGCAAAAATGGTCAGGAAAGTCATTCAAGGATGTAATGTGGAAAGCATGTAGGGCATATATAAAATTTGTTTTTGATGAAGCTATGAAAGAGATTAAGGACATGGATGAGAGTGCATTCAATTACCTCATGGCTGTAGATCCATCTCACTGGAGTAGACATGCATTTAGAGAAGCTACCAAGTTAGACTGCCTCCTCAACAACATGTGTGAATCATTCAATAAAATAATTCTTCAAGCCAAGGATATACCAATTCTCACTACAAAATATATAAGAAGATTACTTATGAAGAGGTTCCTTGTAAAACAAGAGAGCATATCTCAGTTTGAAGGGAGACTGGTACCATAGGCTCAACACAAAATTGAGAAATTTAAGAAAGAAATAATATATTGTATGGTAAGAAATGAAGGGCCTAGACATATTGAAGTGGATCATAATAATGATACATTTGTTGTTGATTTGGATAACAGATGTTATGGATGCAGAAAACGACAGCTTAGTAGATTCCATTGTATACATGGAGTAGCATGTTTGGTAAAAAATAATTGGTCTGTTGAGGAATATGTTCATGAGGCATATACTAGGGAAATGTATATGGTAGCCTATAAGAAGAGTATTGCCCCATTTCCTGGCATGAAACAATGACCCATGACTGAAAACCCTTAACCATCACCTCCACCCAATAGAACAATGTCAGGCAGGCCAAAGAGAACTAGAAAGAGAGAGATAGGAGAGCAAAACTACTGCTTCACTGAGGGTGAAAAGGAGGCAAGTCCAAAATAGATGCAAACAACGTGGCTAATTGGGACACAACAAGAAAACTTGTAGAAATTCAGGCAAAAAGACAAGTGCAAAAAGACAAGGGAAAAAAAAACCCTCTGAGCCTATGTGGAGGCCATGACTATCAAGTTATGGTCATATTGCTTTTTTTTGGTAGACTATGATGAATATATTACATATAATGCTCTGTTCAGTATACTTGAATCCATGTGTTTTGTGTTGAAACCTCATGGTTGGAGGTGGTTGTAGTTTTTGGTGAAACTGATAAGTTCAATGTGAAAACTTCAAGGTCTTGTGCTTGCAGTTTTATCATGTTTTGGGGTTTACACTTGCAATTTGGTCATATTTGGATTTGATTGTAAATCACTGTACATGCTTCATGCTTGGGAAATGTAGTATATATCTATATATATAATGTCTAAGATTTTGTCCTTGATGTATGGCTATGTTTAGTTTTAGAACATGTATATATGCAAAAAAAAAGAGTTATCGGCATTTTCCTAATGTATGTATATATCATGTCTGACATTTTGTATCTGAGATTGATGCATGTTACTAATATATGTATCATATGTGAGATTGGTGCATGTTTTATTGATATATGTATGACCATGTTTGTAAGTTAATATATATGTTTTATGTTTGAAAAATGTAGTATATAACCATATATATCATGTCTAGGATTTTGTGCTTGCATGTATGGTCATGCTTGGTTTTAGAAAGATGAGTAATCAGCAATGGGGTGTACTTCCAAATAGAAACATATATCACGAGTGGAAAAATATACTCCAGCATCACTATTCATTCAGGCATTGACAATGAGAGATAACAAGCACTAAGTTTGAAACATTGTTCATTACATTCTTTGTTACATTAGCTGGGATTTGCATTTCTCATCACAATACAAGCCAATACTGCTAATTAATTCAAAGCTACATGATTTGTTTTCTCACCAAGTACAAACTCAAATATTACAACTAAAACAGCTACAATGAAAGCAAAAATACAACATGAGAATCTATTTCTCCTCATTCACATTTTTTCATTTAAACTGAGATTTTTCCGCTTCAATAATTTATTGTTCATTTTCAACACATCTCTTTCTTCTTCTATCTGCTCAATCTTCTTTCTCATGCAATGAATCTCAGCCTTCCATCTCTTGTTTTTAGCCATGATTTTGTTCAACAAAACTTTTTCCCTACTATCAATCTCCCCATCATAGCATTTGAAAAAATCACACTTTTTAGAGAAATTAGATGGATTAAAATACTGGCAGCTGAAAAATCTTCTACCTGGGTTAGATTATGTCCATGATGTCAATAAAGAAGCTCTCATGTTGCATTTGTAGTGGACCTCCATGGATCTGTCGTGGCTATGATAAGAACCCATACCAATTTCAGATGAAATGGAGACCTCAGACATTTCTCCACAATTGAGAGGAAAAATCAATGAAACAATAGGTTTCTATTCAATTCAAAGCACCAAAGTTTGTCACCCTCAATAATTTGTTGTCATCTATCTCTAGATTTAGGTGTTTTATCAGGTTGAAAAGGGGGATAAATAAAGAAGAGAACAATGAAACGGCTATAAAAAGTTTGTTGAGAGGTTAAACCCTGGTTAAGGCCTGGGTTTCGGTGGGAAACACGTGCAAATCACGTGGTAATAATGGGGCAATTTGGGTAGTTGGGTTATTAATTGAATAGATTTTGACCAAAAGTCGTACTTTGCAAAGCAATACTACTTCTAAGGTGATTTCTATAAAAATAAAACTTATAAGGTGGTTTCCATATATTTTGTTAAACTTAGAAGATGGTTTCTATGAAAAAACCTTGAAGTTATTTTGTTTGCAAGGGCAATAATGTTATTTGCATGTTGTTACATGTAGCAGCTTCACGTGTTCAGCCCCAACATGAAGATGGACATTTACGTATTGGTCATTGACATCTGTAATAATTCCTATTAGTCCCTCAATTCTACAATATTTCCATTTTAGTCCCTCAAATCTTTAAAATTGCGCATTAGTCCCTCAATGACCAAACCACCTCTCAATTATGTTTCACTCCTAAAACCTGTCTTTTTCAATAGAAAAAAAAGGTTAATTGCACTTTCTCACCTTATATCTTATCTCACTTTAATATCCTATAGTTTTTTTATCTTTCATACACAAACTCTACAATAATTCCATATTAATCTCCCAAAGCTACAATCGTTCCCTATAAATTTTTTCTAACATTTTGTTATGACAAAGTTTATACTTTTTTTAGCTTTTATATACAAAATTTTGCTTTTGACACATTGATACCTGAAACTTAGGTTAAAGTATCAAAGTTAAAAATATATAAACTTTAAAAAAAAGAAAAGAAAAGAAATTTTTGTGGTATGAAAGTTCAAACATTTGTAAATTTTGGGTTATCAAAATGTAAATAAGAAAACTTTTAGTTATCAAAGATAAAAAGGTGGTTTTGGGTTATCAAAATGTAAATAAAAAGCTTTGAGTTATCAAAGATAAAAAGGTGACTTTAGAGAAGAGTGTTCATTAATCAAGGTAGGCAGTTCCAAGCAGAGGTTAATATATGAGGTAACTTCACCTAAGGTAGACAAGCTTATTTATACTGAATGCCTAAGCAAATCAAGTGTGTCACTATCTTATTAGCCGCAACTGTCATGGGATTTACTTAACGATCAAGTAAATTCAAGTGTCAATACTTCATTTGTTTATGTATGAGGATACGATATGATTCGAATCAAATAGCATGATGGTAAAAAACATAGAAAAAGATAAAAATGCATAGATATAATAAACGAAAGGTAAATTACACATAACTCCCTCATCTATACCTTCAACTAGCTCATTTATTAGTCGTTATCTCATATCAATTCTTAAGGGAAGGGCACTAAGTGCTAATAAACAGTTTAGGGTGTTAATTATAAAATGTAGCGATTTCAAAATTTAAAAATATTTTGGACATTGACTAGATTTGAAATAACTTTAAGAATATTAACTATTACCTCAATATATATTGACAATTACTATTAAAGTTGCACATAAAACTTAATTTTATAACTATAGAATTTGTTAATGTAATTTTTTGATATATAAAATAAAGCATTCTTTTGCATAAAATACCCAATTGAATTTGCCAAGTGCATTGCATGCGTCCCTCCTCACTAGTTGAATAATAATAATTGTTGTACCATAGAAATAAGTGTTGATTAATATTCAACTGACTGACACATGTCTCAAACAGATTGCACCCTAAGCCAACCCAAACAGGCTAAGCAAGGCGTCCCTTCTCACCAGGCCGAGACAGACGTCCCTTCTCGCATGACTAACTCGTCCCTTCTTGTCGGGTCGAGTCACCCCTTCTCGCCAGGCGGCGTACCTTCTCTCCAGTACGGGTCAAGAATTTTTGAGGCTGACTAAAAAGAAGGTACTTATCGGGTTACCCACTAGATCGATCCTATGAGCACCCCCACTCAGCCCGCTATATCAGCCAACAATTTGCATAGCCGGCTAAAAAGGTGGTGTTTATTGGCCTTCAGCCAAACGACTAGAGAGGCAGTGTATCATTGAACCCCTCGCTGATAACCAACTATCATTGCATTAACTGCTCTAACAAAGACATCATTGCTATAACCCTCATAGTCTATATAACTCATTAGACCCAGTCAGCACCAAGTAGCTACTGTCGATTTACACTAACCACCTGAATGACCCATCTTTACCAGTAGCCAATACCTACCAGCTGTCTGCCGAGTCAGCTGCCTGCCTGGACTCGGTTCAAGTTATATATTTGTCCTTTTGATCCTCCATAAAAGCAAGACATGCAGCTCAAGGTAGCCCTCTGGTCTTCTCACATTACTTTGAAGCCTTCTTCATCTTTCCCACTCAAGTTTATATACTGACTTGATCGTTGTAATAACCCAAATATTAGTGCCTTAAAAACTTGATTAATAATTTTTTAATGACAGATTAAAGAACTAATTAGGGGTAATTTTGGGATTTCACCCTAACTCTTATTTAGCTGCCACGTTAATAGCTTTGTGGCTTGAAACCATTTGAAGATTTGGATGGCACCTCTTAACGGGAGAATAAAAACAGGGAAAAACAGAGAAAAATCACAGAAAAAAAAAACCGAAAAAAAAACAGAGGAGGAGAAAGAGAGGAACGGAAGAAAAAAAAGAAGAAGAAGAAGAGGAAGAAGATAGTGGAAAGGGAAAGGAAAAGAGAGGAAGTTAATCCAAAGGTATAAACCATTTCCCATGTTAATTTCTTGATTTAGAAGAGGATTGTTATAGAAATCTTAGTAAATCGAATCAAAGTAGAATGAGTGAAGGAATTAAATGGTTATGAATGTGAAATAAAGATCTAGGGTTTGCAAATTTCTGTGGTTAGGAGGCATGGAATAAACTGAAAATAAATAAATAAGCTAACCTTGGCGGAGAGAAAGAGAGGGAGAGAGAGAGAGAGATGGAAGAGAGAGGGAGAGAGAGATGAGAGGAGAGGAGAAGAAAACCGAAGGAAAAAAGAAGAAGAAGAAGAACAGATGAGGAGAAAGAAAAACAGAAAAAAAGAGAAAAAAAAACGAAAAAACGAAGAAGGGAGAAAGATGAAGAACGATCAGGAAGTCTGGAGTTAGATAAGGAGAGGAAAACTTGTTTTAAGCCCCCTGAACCATGAAAAATTTCAAAACAAACCTTTTAGTAATATAAGTTATGGTTGAAATAAAAAGAAAAAGGACTGGAAAAATATTTATCAAGCCCATGTCTTTTGTTCAGTTGTAAACCAGTCCAATCAGAGGAATAAACAATAACATTTAGACTTGATAATTGTCTATAACCCCCTGCATTATTATAAGTTACTAGAAAGTCCAAAAGCTAGTATATGAGAGTTATAAAATCTTGATAAATTGCTAAAACTAACAATAAGCTCATATGGACTGAAGAATTTAATCATTATTGATTATATTTGAGTTTATTAGACTCTAGATTATGAATTGATTTACCTATAATATATGTTTGTTCTGAATTAATAATTAGTCATATATCTTACATTATAGGTTCTGGTTGATATTCGGGAGACTAATATTTTGAGAAAGTCGTGACCACTAGAGGTGAGTTCATTTCTCACTAGTATTTTATAATATGAAATTGCATGAGTTTATATTTGATTTATCTTGTGATAAAAATAAATAAATAAATAATATGTCTTTTCATGTATATAAAGATTTGACCTATTTCTGTTGTGGTCTATCCTATAATACGATGTTAGCCTCGTACAATATATGAAAAGTCAATTTGAACTTATGTAAAATATGGAAAAATAAATTTGGCTCTCATGCAATTTTCAAATAATTGTAGACTTTGATTTATCTGAAAGTTTTAATGAAGTAATT